TTCAGCTCCTTTCTGGCTTGAGGGCTATGACTTTTCAGCTTTCTACCTCTTAAGCTTGAATTTATATAAATCAATAATCACTAATATTTAAACATGGTTTTCAAATGGAGATTGTTTTCAAATCCTCCTTAAACTTCTTCAACTTTCAGATATTTCAGCTCCGCCAATCTTTCAGCTACAGACACCATTTAAACTTTCAATGTTGACACAGGTCTCAACTATTTTATGAAAAAAACGGCTTGTGGATATCTATTGTACTTTTTTCATAATCACTGATTATGTTTCACTAGTTCTTCGCTCCGTTTCTGACTTTTACATGAGTGTGTATTACCATACTACTAGTATTTCTACTGCTATTAATACTACAACTACTACTGATGTTATTACAAATACTACTATGGCTAATAGTATCAGTATTCCAGCTGTTTCTACTGCTATTGATAATAAACCGACTGCTACTGCTAGTACTACTAATACCAAAATTACAACTTTAACTAATACTACTACTAATATTACTACAACCAATTTTAAACCTCTTTTTATTCATCTCAGCTTTTGTTATTTCTCTACTTTTTTAAATTCAATTAAGCTCCTGCAACTTCTGTATTTTTTAGAAAATCTATTGGAATTCAGCTTCCCCACTTCCTGTATTTTCAGCAATTCTTTAAAATAATTTCAGCTTTTCTTATGCCTCTATTAACAGCAATGTTTTAATATTCATTTCTTTATTCTTTTTTGCAATATTTCCAATTTATTTCAGCTGTTTTCATTTCTGCTTTTTCAGCAAATCTATTGAAATTCCTTTCAGCTTCTCCCATTTCTGTATTTTCAGCTATTTCAAATTAATTTCAGCTTTTCTAATATCTGTAATTTCAGATGTATTCAAATTCCCTTCAACTTTCTGTATTTTCAGCTATATTTAAATATTCATTTCAGCTTTCAGCTTTTTGCATTCCAACGCATTTTCAGCAGGAAATGCCTTTTCTAGTTATTCTATTTCTTCCGCGCCCCCTTTCAACTGCTTCCCATTTTCAGCTATTTAAACCGTTTAAATATTAAAATATTCAGCTCCTTTCTGGCTTGAGGGCTATGTATGTTCAGCTTTCTACCTCTTAAGCTTGAATTTATATAAATCAATAATCATTAATATTTTAACATGGTTTTCAAATGGAGTTTGCTTTCCAAATCCTCTTCAACTTCTTCAACTTTCAGATTCTTCAGCTTCGCCAATCTTTCAGCTACAGACACCATTTCAACTCTCAAATGTTCACACAAGTCTAAACTATTTTATGGAAAAAAATGCTTCTTGATATCTATTGTACTTTTTTCATAATCACTGATTATGTTTCACTAGTTCTTCGCTCCGTTTCTGACTTTTACATGAGTGTGTAAAGCGTCTGCTAGAGTGGGGACCTCGAGGGCTAGAGTGTGAAGCAGCGCAGGAATCTGGTTAAAAAAGTATGGAACTTCTGTCCTTGCAGCCAAAGTATACACTCTAGAGGCTTCATTTCTTCAGATTAATGAGGGCATGGTTGTGCTGATTGGATTAATGTGTTCATGGAATCCCAGAGTTCTTTAGTTTTGGCCCAAGGAGTGTTAGAGTGACACAACCTCTGCCAAAAGCCCCATAGGCTCCAATACAAATCTGCCGACATATTTCTCTAAAAATCCAGAAGGTACACGTTTTGTCAACGGCCATAGGAGCCGTATTTATTACCGGACAGACATAAAACGCACATCCATGCGTTCGGTAGAGTCTTGGGTCTCGTAAAAACGCCGTATTTTTTAGATAGCTGTTATAGTTTTGCGCTGAATGTCATTTGTTTGAGGTGTGGATTCTGTGTAACTCGCTGTCCTGTGTCTGCCCTTTTGCAGCCGCACAGGTGTGTCGTTGCCGTGGTTGCTCGCTCACGCGCTGCAAGATCTGTCTGTGGCTCACAGCTGCTCCTATGACCTGATTAGTGGAGTCACATCACGCAGCTATGCTTTCTGTCAACAGACCAATATGATAAAGACACTCGCCCACCCCTCCCCCCTCCACCCTGACCTCTTCTCACTGTTTATCACTCTCAGTCAGTCTGTCTGTCTATTTCTCCTCCTCTCTCTCTCCTCTCTCTCTCCCTCTATCTCTTCCTCACCACCCCTCCCTTCCTCACCCTCCCTCCCTCTATCTACACCCCCCCACCCCACCCAGTCCAATAATTACAAAATAAAAGCCCCATAGAGGGAATTTTTACTGTAATGTTTGTGATGAGGCCTATTAATTAAAAACGTCTTAGTTTGAATAACAAACATTCTGTCTCCCACTACGAATATTACTCGTACTTCTAGTACTACAACTGATACTTCTACTACCATACTACTAGTATTTCTACTGCTATTAATACTACTACTAATGTTATTACAAATTCTACTATGGCTATTAGTATTACAGCTGTTTCTACTGCCATTGATACTAAACCGACTTCTACTGCTAGTACTAATACCACAACTATAACTAATACTACTAATAATACTACAAACAATTTTAAACCTATTATTATTTTTATTCATCTCAGCTTTTGTTATTTCTGTACTTTTTTAAATTCATTTAAGCTCCTGCAACTTCTGTTTTGTTTTGCAATATTTCACATTTATTTCAGCTGTTTTCATTTCTGCTTTTTCAGCAAATCTATTGAAATTCCTTTCAGCTTCTCCCATTTCTGTATTTTCAGCAATTTCAAATTAATTTCAGCTTTTCTAATATCTGTAATTTCAGCAGATGTATTCAAATTCCCTTCAACTTTCTGTATTTTCAGCTATTTTTAAATATTCATTTCAGCTTTTTGCATTCCAACGCATTTTCAGCAGGAAATGCCTTTTTTAGTTACTTCCGTTGCGCGGCCTCGATCCACACGTGGACGCAATGAAAGACCCGGTTCAAGCCGCATCGGGTGTTTTTTCGGCAGTAAACGCGCGGTAGTTTCGCGCCGGTGAGGTTGCACAAAGCCCGGCCGGCCTGCACCAGACTCCGCGTTCAAATCCCGCGATTTAAGCCTCTCCGAGTCTAACGCCCGCAGTCCGAGGAGTCGGCAACCCTGCGCACGAAACCGTATCGAGGAGAGGGGAGGAGGAAGAGGAGGAGGAGGAGGGGAAGAGGGAGGTCTTGGAATAAGCGATAGAGAGTCTATCGTGGTGGTGGAGTAGTGAGACGGGACCCGCAAAGAGCAGCTCGGTAAAGCTCCGCGATTTTTGTTGTTTCGTGTCCTGCGACCAGAGACAGACAAAGCGGGAACGAGCGGAGACGCGCGGCGGGTCTTTTTTTTTGTCTTTCGGGGTGCGACAGAAAGCTGAGACAACCGTCCACTCTGGATCTCTTCATCCGCTACCTGTCGTCCAGGATGAGGTTTAAAAGGAACGGGTCCTACACGCTGAACAGGTGAGAGGCGACGCGGTGAGCTGATCACGTGTTATCCCTGCGGGAGGGCTGGGGGGGGGGGGGGGGGGGGGGGTGTTATATTGCTTATAAATCAATTCACTTTCCGCGGAGGCTTACAGTGACACTTTATACCGTCTTTCCTGCACTTCGTGGCATTTCTTTACTGATGACTCTTCAATAATACTTTCAGGCACACTTTACTTTTCACACTTAGTAACTTACTTGCCATCCCATTTCCTAGCAACTTTGTATGTGTGATGGCAACGGCCTGTTTTTGTATTCACAGATCACCCAGAGCTTTTATATTCATACATTGTGTTATCGCTCCAAGTCACAAGTTTATAAGGAAAAGTCTTTCTTTGTCTGCCTGCCACCCAGACGGATGTCTTGCTTTTATTGTGGGTCTGGATTTCGTGATAAGGCCCACATATTTAGAGGAAGTACGCTCAGAACTGGGCCATATTGTTGGAAAGTGGCAGTTGATTTATTGTCGGTTTCACTTGTTCCTCTTTTCCCATGACCGTCCGCTGCACGCACGCACACACATCCCCCCCTTTCAATACTGAAACACAACGGGGACCCGATAAGTGCCAAAAAATATCTTCGGCGCTCTGTTGTAAGAGCGAGAAGGGAAGGACCCTTTGCTTCCTCGTGCAAGAATCCCCACCTGGCCCCTGCCATCCCTGTGTTGAGCAGTGGTGTCACGCGTGTCGCAAGTGTGCAGGAGAGCGGGAAGAGATGATCAACCCGTTGGCCCGGTAGCTCCTGGCGACAGGTCTCCAGGGATGTGCAGAGGTGCAGAGTGTCTGAGGAGGAGGGGGAGGGGTGACGTCATTGGATGTAGAAGCGCTTCGCATCTTCTTTTATCGGCGAGAACGGTAGCGGAGAGACTAACACGCTGTGTTGTCGTATGGCAGTCTTCGTTTACAGCATCACACACACACACACACACACACACACACACACACACACACACACCTGAACACTGCCTTCCTTTTTGTTTTTAAAGCGATTGGTCTTATGGAAAGAGATACAACGAGGCCCATAATTCACCCTGTGTCCTTCGCACTGTTTGACCACCCAGTACTCCGCAGCGATTGGCTGGCTTCCTGGGGGCTTGCGTCCGCACTGCCCCCTCCCCTCCCGTCGGGTCCCGTCCCTCTGCATCATTTCTGTGAATGAAGAGCGTTATCCGTGTGCTGCTCGCTCACGTGTGCGGTTCCTCTGGAGTGTCGACTCCAGAGGATCGCTGCCAAATCACGCAGCGGCGGGCAACTTGTTGACACCGACTCGCCGTCCAGAGATGCTGGACAGGATTTTGACTTTTGACTGATTTGGCAAAAGGTGGGTGTGTTTGGGTCTGTGAGCGTCTGGTGGATATTGGATGTATCCATGTGATTTGATTTCTTCCCGTCTTTCTCTTTCGCGGTCCTCCCTGCGCTGCCCAGCAGTCAGCATTTTGTTTATGGGACGCTGTTTGCCAAGCTAATCTTCCCGCCTTTCAAATGGGAGCCAGCAAGCGAATGAGAGGGAGGGAGGGAGGGAGAGCGAGAGGGAGGGAGACAGACAGAGAGGGAGTGAGAGTGTGAAAGTGAGGCAGGCAGTTGCAGTATAGTTGGAAAGGAGAAAGAGAAACATGCTCAGAGAAGCGGGTCTGGATTTGTGAATTCTTTTTGGTTCCTGCAATTTTGCTCGGGCCGAGTCCCTCGTTGGCCTGCGTCCATTTGTCCATTCGTCCCGCCCGTCTCTCGTTGAAGCCACAGTAGCTGTTTTGGTTCTCGAAGGTGCTATACTGGCGCTACTGCACCTGTAGCAGAGTCTGCAAAAGAGGAGCCTTGACGGGAAAGTGAAAGGAAGGAAGGACGGACGGACTGGTGCTGTGGGTCGGAGCCTCGTCAGCCCGGCTCTGCTTCACCCCCCCGATGGGGGTTCTGGTGTGCTGCGACTGCTTCTTCTACCGGTACCTTTCCCCTTTATTGCCTTACGTCATACTCTCCTTTACAGCATTGTTCAACTTATGTTGTCAGACCTTCATCCCCACCCCCCCATTCCGTTATGCTGCTGCGGTCTTGCAGGAGACGTTTGAGGACACTGCTGCTGGAGCGAGCAGAGATTCTGCTGGTATCTTGACCTGGTGTGAAGGAGGAGGAGGTGGAGGTGGTGGTGTTAAGACCAGTCTGGAATAAAACTGCTGCAAGTCATGTAGTTTACAACGGTGTTACTCGTGTCCTCCCGTGAGCCCTTTTGGCTGTGCAGCACTGTTTGTTTGGACACCGTGTTCCCTTTTTCCCCCCGTTTACGTCTTTTGTTTTTTTTCTGGTCTTTATCTGCAAAATTTACGCTTGCTTTGGTTTCCTACCTGGAACAACGATCGCGTGTTGCTGGGAGGTGCACCCGTAACGCCGGCTCTTGGATAAGGAAGCTAGATGACTTCGGTTTGACTCATTGGCAGTCGGAGCAGAGAGGATCCGCGCCCCCCCCCCCCCCTCTGTGGTTCTGGGACTCGCTAGCCTGAGCTTCCCTCATCTGCTGTATGAAGTCTAAATTTAACTTTCCAGCTCTCATTGTAAAATTGTAGCTTTAACACACACACACAACACACACAACACATGGCGCAGCTGGATTAGATTAGGCCTTGCTGGCATTTAGGACTTTGTTTACACTTTGCCGCTGCTCTTTGTGTGAATGACAGCCTGCCCTTTAAGTGTGTACGAGCGTGTCATGTTATAAATACAGTAGGCCCCTGTGAAACGCACACAGAAGCCTCGTTAAAGGCATCGGCTCGTGCCGGGAACGGAGCCACTCGTGGTTATTTCCCTCCCGGTCCCGGTCACGGCAGGGTTGGGACCTGCCGTGTGCACTGATGTCTCACAGGCTCATTAAGACAAAATGGGCCATCAAGTCTATTTCCGGCACTTCCTCTCCCCGGGCGGCACCGGTCGGCCAATCGGAGCGGCTTGGGGTGGTGATGTCATAAGGCTTTGGACGACGTGTGTTGTTGGAGGCACACCCTTCCAAGCAGGTCCTCGTTGACCTCTGGCCAGCCGAGCCCCCCGAGCCCCCCTCCCCGTCAAGCGAGCGCCAGTGTTTCACCTTTCAACAGCAGCATTGTGTGCAGAAAAACCGGCCCGCTGGCGCTGAGAACAGCTTTGGCTCCGATGGCGATCATCCTGTTTAAAATCTAGCGATTGAAGAGTCTGTCATCGGATGAAATGACAAAAAAGACGGCCTTTGTTTCTCCGACTTCTGCCTTTTTTTATATAGAGAAAAGTTGGTAACAAAGGCGCAATGTGCTGTTGAACAACTTCACGTCTGGAAATATGCAATTTTGCTTTTGTGCCGAGAGTTAGATGAAGAAATCAGTGCCCTGTTATTACAGATTATCTTAATTAGAGTAGACGCTTAAGGAGCGGCTAACAAATATATTGCATGCTAAATCTCTCTTTTTAACTGACTCTGTAAAAAGTTACATGTGGTTTTTACTGGGTCTACTTTAAAAAAAAGCAATTGAAATGAGGTTGAAACGTGCTCACGGTCATGACTCTTCTGTTTGCTGTCTGTTGACACATTAGCCTGTCTGGTTCGGATTCATTTTGGCCCAATATTGACTCTGTAATACACCCAGTCACTATTTAATAGTTAAAATAATCTAATAACAATATTTTTATTTTCAAACCCTCAACACCAATGTGAACCCAAAAGATCAGAAAAAAACTCAAGTCAACCTTGCAGGATCAATTTTCCAGGGTCTCCTTCAACTCAACAGCCCCCCTCCCACCAACACCACCACGATGAAGTCAAAAGTTTAAGTGTGCGTGAAAAGCTAAATACCGGTTTAATGTAACTGTACCCTTTTCATGCACTGCTGTTGTCGTGCTGCAGGAAAGCAGGCGTAGTCAGACCTCAAGGCTCCATCTCATGACAAACGCGTGTGTGTGTGTGTGTGTGTTTGCTCTCGGTGGATCACAGGTCCAAGGGCACCTTGGTTTACTTGATCCTGTGAGGACAAGTGTTATGTTTATGTTAGACTCCTACACGGGGACCCGGGCTGACTGTGTGTGTGTGTGTGTGTGTTTGTAGCAGTTATTTCAGCAGCAGCCGATAGCTTCCCCGCGCTGCCTCTTGGGAAGCAAAAGGCCCATTTTGAAAGGGAGACAGGAAGTGCTTTGGCACCTCACTTCCTTTTTGTTGAGTTTGTCCCAGGAGGGAGGGAGGGAGGGAGGGAGGGGGCGGTCTGGTGAAGCCCAATGGAACGGAGAAGGTAGGACACACACACACACACACACACACACACACACACACACACACACTTGCCTGCTGCATAGTTGTGAAATTGCCTCAGTGCAGCAGTGCTCTTTGCAGCTGTTTCCCCCCTCGTTTGTTTCAATTATCCATCATCAGACCTGAGAGACAGGTCGAGGACGGCTCAAAGGAATGCATCTTCGTAGTCATCATCATCTGGATGATCCCGTGACGATCGAGCCCTCCTCCATCTTTGTGAGACCGTATTTAATCAGAGAGCAGCTGTGAACGGGCGAGCGGGGGAAGCTGCAGAGTGATGACGTGCATAACATCCATCATGGTCGCTGACAGAACTCTGAGGCCGCCGGCCAAGCGGGGGACTGACCTCTGACGACTCTGAGAGCTTCTATTCTACCTCCCGTGTTACAGGCTTCAGCTGCTGTATTGTATCGTTCGAGGCTTTCTGCTGTGCAGCCGGATGGGCACGATGCACAAGCAACCCTCCCATCCCCTCCTAGGAGAGATGATGTCACCGCATAAGCTCATGTTCCCAGGTGGGAGCCAGTTACTCCTCTAAGCCAATCAGAGGCTGGTTTACACCTGAATCCCCAGGCCAGGAGACGCAGGCACACGCTCTAAACTCAATGGTGTTTGCGGCCCGCTGATTTCATCTGCTGGTGAAAAGGGGAGGGCGGACGGGAAGAATGTGAGCGTCATTGCTCATCAATGAAATGAGGTTGTGCTTCTGCAGCGTGGAAGGAGGGAGGAGAGGGGGTGTGGGGGGGGCACACAAGAAGGACATCTATCGATCTGACCTCCCTTGCGTCTCCTTTCAGCCCCCTTTTTCTCTAATTTTTCACCGATGTCAGCCCGCATCCTTTCCCTCACACACCGTCGTCTGCAGACAACAATGGTATCGTTTCCCCCCTCGTGCATTTGTCTTGTCCCCCCTCAGCAGGCCGACAGAGGACGCGCTTTAATACTTCCTCGATGCCAGTCTCCTACGAGTAGGACAGGGCCCCGCTGTCGTGTCGCTGTCATCTCAGCAAAGCTCTCGAGGGGTCAAACTTGTACGGCTTTTGTCTGAGATTTTCCAGGACATTTGCTTCCCTTTTGTTCTCCGAGCTTCAATTCTCCCCAGCGCAGCCCCTTCTTTCCTCTGGGTGGAGCCCGGACACAGAAACGCATGTCCCGCTAGATTTGCATAAAAATACGACTTGGCTACACATGCAATAACACACATGGGTGTATATAGGGATGGGGCCGATCCCATCCAGTATCGGTATCGGGACCCGATACCAGAGAAATTCGGGTATCGGATTTTCCGATACAATCTTTGGAGATTTCCGATATCAATGAGCCATGTCTGCGCTTTAACGTCGTCTGCTGAAATGACTCCAAAAGTGATCCCCGCCTGCTAGTCTGCTAGCTGGCTGCAAACTGTGGAATGGATTTCCTGAGCGTGTCTCATAACTGTCTCATTGAGCCGCGCCTCCGTTCAGGAATCCATTCCACAGTTTGCAGCCAGCTAGCAGGCTAGCAGGATAGCACTGAGGCTAGACTGTTTAGCACGGCAGCCAATACCGTGGATGAAAAAAGGAATCGTCTAACTGCAGAGAGAGCAGAAATGCTCATATTCCTCAAGAAGAACCTGCCGATGTAAGATTTGTTGAACACTACATCACTTCCTCACAGTCAACTTTGAGACATTCAATTTTTGTTTTCTTTTAAAGAATAGTTAGACTCTGGTGTTTAGTTTATTCCAGGTCATCTTAAGTGCTGTTCTGATGCACAATGTTTTAAAACTTATTGTGTGTGTGTGTGTGAGAGAGTAAGTGTGATTGCGTGTGTGAATGAGTGAGTGAGACTGTGTGTCAAGTGTGTATGATGTTTACAGTTATTTTATTGCACTTTTCTTCAGATATTTGACATGTTGTTCATGATACAAGAGTCAGTTTACTTGATTTGTGCTGTTATTTTTGTGAACGAGTGAGTGAGACTGTGTGTCAAGTGTTTTCATATTTCTAAATTTTTAAGACTCAAGTATTTGACATTTATGAAATTAAATAAATATTGACATGACAATCAATCTGAAACCCTTAGTTTCAAATTTGTTTTCAGAATTTTTTCTGTTAACAGGATTTCCTGTTTTTCAAACACAGCTCTGGTATCGGAATATTATCTGTATCGGCCGATATCCAAATTTAGGTATCGGGATCGGATCGGAAGTGAAAAAATGTGGATCGGTCCATCCCTAAGTGTATATCATCACTGCCACTTTCAGATGAGTAGTTGCAGAGGGGATTGTTTTTCCACCGGCATCTAGACCACGAAAGCATCACAACGCAGCACAATGCGTGGCGGTATTGACAATAAATAACGTGCATTAAGATGATGGATTGTGTTGATTTGCAGTGCGTCTGAGGAAGGGGCGTCGACTCTTGGCGAGTCAGGGAGCGCTGGCTGGCTCATGTTTTCCACCGGCTTGGTTCTGGGTTTGTTGATCTGTTGACCTCCTTCAGTCTCATGCTTCTCTTCACCGCTTTGCCAGATCCTGGGTGGGACCACTTCCTCCGCTTTCATCCACCGTGTGTTAATCAAACTCGCCCAATGGACCAGTTTCCTCCGTTGTCAGATGGGGGGGAGTGGGGGGGGGGCAGGTCTAGTCATCAGGGAGGGAATTTAGTTTTCAGCATTTTTGTGACCTTATTTGGATGT